TAAAGTTGACGACGATAAAAGCTTGTTTAATAGGTCAGAAAAAAAGGCTTGTACGTTAAGGATTAAAAGGACTGTAGAAGTTGATTATTCGCAGTGTTGTTTTCAAATTATTATGGAAACGAACATTCTGAGAGGTTCAGTATATAGACGTCAAGAGCTTTTAGCCTTCGGACGAAATACAATACAGTCATAGACTCTTAGAAAAGGCATCAATTTGCTGTTGAATACGATGCGAAATAGTGCAAGAACGTTTTCTTCTGGGCCTGCTTTCGATAGAAAAGTTGATAACGCCTTGGTGCCTTCAGTTGAGATTATATGAGAATGACCAATTGAAAAGAACAACCAATATAGAAAGGAAACACAGAAGATCTGTTTGTATAGCGTTGAATGCAATCAACGTCTCTAATGATATGAACAGTATCTAAATGTGATTTTCGCAATAAACATTACACAGGATTGAATTGCCTCCTGTTACTTAGTAAACAGATGCTTTCTTGTTCACTCCACATTGTCGAGACGCGTCACATGTTGATGACGAAGATGACAGAGAAAAACAAAAACAAGAGACCCTTTTCGGTTGAAAAAAGAGTGTATATATATATATATATATATATATATAAGGTCGATTTATGAGCTTTTATATTTGCATTCTATGCAAGAGTCCTGGTTAGAAGTAAAACTCTATTGACAAGGAACAAATGTGTTAATGCTGATAATTTTTTTCTTACAGAATAGATTGATTGATCATTTAGATAAGTCAGTTACACCGACAGAATGCCCAAAATTATTTTAATTTAAATCAGTTCTTCTCAATCTGCAATTAAGCGCTGGAAAATTCCGTTCGGATCAGCTACGGTTCTGGTTATTACGACAAATTTAAATGATTACTTAAGCACACAAGCTCTATAATTTTGTTATCGTAACTATAGATAATAGTAACAAATAAAGGCCCGTCTGGTGATTCAGCTGTAACTATGTAACAAAGTATTGATAGGCATATCACGGGTTCAGGGTAACATTACATGACAGCCTCCTCGCTCTATCACGCTTCATTTATAATAAGAAGTCAGCTGTTCAGTTGTCTTATTAGCGGAATGGGGCCCTACCTAAAACTATCGTATACGACCTGATGTGGGCCGTGAGTTCTGGTGACGTCAAATCTACAGTATTACGACATGCGCGAAAATCATCGCCTTCATGAGACAACAGTCACTGTAATTAACTTATCAGACATGTCCATAATTTGTACATCTGGCGGAAATAAAGAAAGGTCTATTGCACAGATGTTCCGCGCACATCCGTGTGAGTTTGACGCATCGCATTTCTTGTGTCGCAAGTAAAGGAACGATAGAGACGCGCTAGCTTCTATGGCGTACTTATTTTAAAAGGTCCTCATTTAAGCACGCAAATACTGTAGAACATGTTGATGGCAGAATTTGATTCAGGGACGTATGGCCTTTTTCAGATACTGGCCTTAATGGCCGCGCTAAACCAAGGTTTCGCCATTCTGTTTGCGGCGCTAATTAATAATGAAATTAAACACTCTTTTACGAAAATCGGCTCTGGTGAAATAGACCAAGATGGGAGTCGCCCTTGAGGTCGAAGTTAGCACTTGACGGCAAACAAAAAAGAAAATGCCCGTAGTTAAGAGCTGTACACACTCCTGTATCTGCTGCTAACTGAAACCGGTTCGACGCGGCTAACCAGCAGCTTCGATGCAGTATGATGACGTTTATATTTCCCACAGTTCCCATGGTAAATGGTTCTGTTGGCCAAACCAACTCAGCACAACACGAATAGCACGTTTTCCATATTGATGATTGTCATTATCAGCAGTAATATGTAAGTACACTACAATAGCATCAAGTATATTATAAAGCTAGTGCTAAAGCACTTAACGGACAATATCAGGTACTTCGTCCCGCTATAAGTGCTTGATTTTACCCTATACTCATCCGAAAATAAGGACAAGATGGCTAATGGTACATGCATTGCGTCAGGTCATACATTTGGGCGCTTTTTTGGGGGCTTACAGATCGGTGTTTTTTGTCGGTCACACAAACTACTTCCTCAATCGAGTTTTCTAATCTGCATACTGTAACGGGATTGGCACCTTCCGTATAATTAGAGAAAAATCTCAATTATTCTGTCACCTCCTGCTTCGGCCGCTCATGCGTGCTCTGCTGAACGTAGATCTATGTAAGTATACGTTTTCTTCGTAAAATACCGTTGTGCACAATCGGTCCAAACGGAAGCTAACGCTGTGAAGACAGCAGCAGCGTATATGCTCATAAAATATTCAACTTTTCCATCAATCAAATGGTTTATAGTACGCCAATTCATTTCTTGGTATTATTATGCCTTAGAATCACTATACTATCGAACGTAAAATGGCTCGGAAGTTGTACAGGCTCCATGTTTCTCGACGGAAAGCTCTGGTCACGCATCACTCTAACGAGACGTCACGTTTACGCTGGATTTCTATAGATAAAGTTAGGTTAATAATGCGCAAAAACACTGTTTCTTTACAATAACTTTTTTTTGATGTCATACCTGTCGTAATTTTGCTAGATTCACCCAACTACTGCCTTCAACAGATTTAATCTTGAAGCGAGACACGGTGACAATTTCAGTTTAAGGGAGAAATAACTTTAAGGGATGTTCTATACAGGAATTTCACAGTTATAGGGTAACAAAGTCCAACTGGGTTTTTCCATTTCCAAACAAACCGGCGCTTATCAACCGAGCGCTGTTGTTCTACTTTACTAAATCTTGATGAGCAGTACATAACTCGGCATATCGCTAGTATATGATAATTAAGGCGCAAACATACAATATATAGCATTAAGTTAAAATACAAACTATAGAAAGACAGCTAACCTCACCAAAGATAGTTTGGCGCAATCTTGTTTCCCTATTAAGCCTCCTATGCTCAATTGGATGTTCTGGATCAGAGAACCCAGATAGCATCCCCTACTTGGAATTCAATATTGGTGCACTGCGATTGCAGGTATCCGCGGCTAATCGATAAATGATTATAGCTTTGTGCATCGGATCCATCCGTTTATTTTTATTTGAATGGATTTAAATTGACAGGGGCAAAATACTTTCCATTTCCGCTCGATTCATCCGGCTTCCTCGAAAACATTCGGTCAGATTTTGATGAGTTCCTTTGTTGCACGCTTAGAGAACGTAGCGCTGAGTTCCAGAAACGCGATCCGGGAATTTAACAAATCCGAGAAACTTCCTCGTTGATTTGTGCTTAATCAGTGCCCCGAAAAATAAAAAATCCCAAAAAAAAACCAATAGAACAATGGCTGTGTTTAGGATTAACTCGAGTGTTAGATTGGGCTTACGCAAACGCCCAATTTAAAATATACAATAGTACAAATTTTAGCGAAAAATCAAATCTACATATGAAGCAAAGACAATTTAGAAACTAACTAAAAATAAACATGCTATAATATTTTTGCTACAATTATTAACTGTAATTGGTTAAAGTTGAATTTTAAATACTTGATTTTAGGACCTGGGTCAGCTAGAAGGTGAAATGTTTAAGCACTTCCAGAATAGAACCAATACTGCCGATCCGTCTCTATGAAACTATTAAAAACAGCTCGAAATCAGGCTGCCTGATAATTCGACTGCAATATAAGATGCTATATGAATTGTGGACAACTCAAGTCCCCACCGATATGAGCGAAAAGTGACAAGGCCTTATTTGCAATGCCCGTCTCCTAACTGGCCTTGTTTCCAGCCAACTTGATACGCTGTAAGCGTTTCAACTGGAAGAAACATCTATTGTTACAAGCGTAGCCACAAATTCAGCTACACTTTGAATGATTCTCGACTATCACGGCTTCACGTTCATCGTATTGATCACCACGTCTAACTCTGGACAACCAAAATAGTGAAGCTCGATTAGGTACCGACAACAGCACATTGTGGTTCATTTAGTGTACAAATTGGCAGCGTGCACATCGTATTAAATATCTCTTGTAAACAGTTATGAAGGTAAGGCTCTATTTAACTAGCGAGTTACACCTTTGTCAAGGAAAACACCGTATTGTTCCATCTACTCTGTTGCCGTTGCCTTGTGAGAACGTTATCTTAAGCCATCTCGAGAAAAGGACCAATGGGCACACCTTAATCGTAAAAAAATCGCCGATCATTCAACTAGCTTTGAACACACCCATGGTCTACGTATTACAGTTATAAAGCGTTCAGCAATAAACCCCTTGTAAACAAGCGTCAATTGAATGAGGTCCAGCTAGCTTGCAATAAAGTTCAGGATCATTTATACAGCAAATAGGAAAAACTGACTGAGCATTGGCAGAAACTCGAGGCGAAGAAGGTCTACGAACACCTGTTTGATCTGTAATGATGAGTGATAGCAGTAAATTATCGCAGCATTTTTAACAGAAGTCTCTCCGTATCCATTCGCTGAAATGGCTAGGATGTTTATCTTCCTATGGAACAAACTATAATTATTAAATTCACCTTGCTAGCATCTGACTCTGGATAAATGAAATCAGGAGGAGACCACATTTCGACCCGCAAAGCTCTCTTGCTTATGCCGGTTTAATTGAATCTTTTTTTTTTCATCAGTTAGGCCCGCCACGAAATTACCAGATGAGAATTAATCATGAGAATTAAATTTAAAAACAATTGAGGCCTACCTAGTTATTTTCTATTAAGCAAAACTCAGATGAGAGGCATCATCCGCTGTCTGGAAGTGTCGTCGAAAAATTCGAATCAACTTTTCCAATAAAACTAATCTTTATATAAGATCGAAGTTAATCTTGGGATATTGCCGTTTTCTCTATTGTTTAAACCCTCACTCAGGCTGAGCCTCTAATATATAACTTACGGCTGTAGATGGCTAGAGACGCTAACGGCGACCGCACTGCTCACAGGTATAGTCAAAATTTCCGTAAAATTCAAAAGGAATTCGTCTGGTGCTTCAAATAAGAGCTTAAGGGTACTTTGCATAGACATACCTGATACACTTAGGGGTTCGATGGCGGTTGAACGGCTCGTTCATGGGCACTGTGCATTAAAATAACACTGAAACAGATTTACCAGCCGAATGTTTACAAGGATCACTCAATATTATGGAAAACACTTTCCTACGCATAGGGATAAAGTTCAATATAGATAGGGTCGATGTATCCGTGTGCGGAAAGCACGCAATGTTTTTATTCCAAGTCGACGACTAAGTGCACCACTTTTACAAAATGCATACTGAACCTTACCGTCGTACGAACAGCGTCATTATTGTCGTAAATCTAAAATACGGTTAATCATGCTGGAAGGAAGCGTCAGTCGACTTCATGACTTCATTCAGTCACCCATTCCAGTACTAGGGAGGAGCGAGGACGGTGACTGTCAGACGACGACGACGACATTGATAGACTTCATGTCGTAAGCATTTAAAATGTACGTTATGTGCCATGTATGCTAGTAAATTTGCCCCTAAGGAGGGTCACCTGGCAGGTTATTCGGTCGACGAATGGTATCTGTGACACGCTCTAACCTTTTAGGTTTCACTTGACGCACAATTCAGAGACGATAGTGCATATATCCACAATATAAACGAAGAAGTGAACATATTACTGTTCCCGCACGTATACCATGACATAAGTGGGGAGAGCACTTCCATGAGAAAAAATCTAATCAGTATAGTAAATCGAGATCAGTAGAGTTTTAAGGCTGAAAGCTGTTTGCACTGCAACTTGAAGGGACTACCTGACGAAGAAGTTTTACAAACAAATTAACTCGCGCTAAGATTAAGTTTGTTAGTCAAACAATGACTTCCTTTCTATAGGTGCATCTTTCATTCATAACCTAACCTAGTATATGCTCATCTGACCCATGTCGTTCGCTACTTTTCTTGTTAGCTTCACCGAAAGCCACTATTCATCGAAAACCCTGACTAGATAGGTTCTGGCGGTTGTCCAGTGTTTCCTTCCCTGTTACCACTGGCCTCGTGAATCCGGTACGAAACTTCGCCTAAGACGTAAGACTGTCACCATCTCTAGCTATCGCTATCTCTAATTGGTACAATTAACAACTATATTACTTAACAATCTTGGTGGCCTGCTAGTCCTAATTCTCTCCCCTTTATCGTATAGCGTCTTCTTCACTGTTAAGCATTCACCTACTCAACTGCTGCTGTTCCTCCTCTATTTTTTACGGAACCTTATCGTCTGCTCCATGCACTACACGCGCTAGGTACAACGTTGACGATTACAAGCAGTTGTTTGCCGGCAGTCAGTGTCGTGTCCGTTGCCTCTGCTACGACCGTCGGGGCGTATCGTTTACTGCGAAAGTCTCTTGTCGCCCACTGCCAGTGTCATTGCATTGATTTGCTACCATCCAGCTCCTCCGCCGCAACTGATTGAGGCGGACTCACTCAGCCAGCCTCTCTCGGTAGCGCCACTGGCGTCAAAGTAGCTGTACGAGTGACTTCGTTCCACTATAGTGGTCTGTGCAGCCAGCAGAGACGATGACCGTGAATCGTCACCTCACGCCACAGCTATCCTCCAGCTAACGGCTAACCATCAGCGCCACTACTGCGTTCACAGCTGCTCCGTTGCTCGCCGATGTTGTCGTGGTCGCCAACGATTTCGTTGTCCCTTTAGCTCTCCCCTATTCCTGTCTTTCTGCTTATCAAAGCCTACGCTGAACCCGGCCGAGGCACAATGATCCGTTCCGGCCAACAAAATACTAAGTAACTCTTTGTCGGAGTGTTAACAACTCGCCTTCGTCACCCATGTATCAGCCGCTGTGCTTAGTGCCGATTGGAGCGCTCTCTCGTACAGTCTTCACCTGCGGACGACGTTACGACGACTACTTTCTGTTTCTACGGCAACTGGTAATGGACGCTACGCCGATAGTGCTGGCTAACTGTAGCACCGGTTACATGAACGGCCAAGACATAAACAATGCGGTGTGTGAGCTGCAGTAGTGTTCGGCATTTGCCATTGGGCACTGGGCTGCACGCATTGGGAGTAGAGAATCGCCAACTGAACAAGCTATGGGAGTTCTATCAATTTGACAGAACAGAATTGTTAGTCTCTGACGGACTCGTTGAGAGCTATTATCTGTTGATAATATATCCCAGCGCTCTGCATAATACTGGATACGTGTTCACGATCGTAATGAGTAGCTAGTAACTGTGTTGGATATTGTAACCTAGAACATTCTTTTACAGGAACGTATGATAGGTAATCTTTGACTTTTTTTTTTAACAGTATTTTACTTCTACAAACACCACTGCTGCTTGTGCGGATCATAGATAACTAACTTATTCAAGAAGAATGGTTCAAGACCAGCGAAGAGCTAAACCAACGTTAAAACACGGTTACGACATGTTATCTCGACTTACCGAACTCCTATGGATAGCCCCGTGCGGTTAACCCCAAACGGCGATCGAGAATGTACTAAAACGCGGATGACTATGTAAAATTCCTATTGATCCAACCACTGAATCACTTTACGGTAGGCGTGAAGCGTGAACATTTGAAGTATCGACGATCGCAGGCACATAGTGTACAAGCTGACCACGTAAGATTTACGTTAAACTTTCTCGCCTAAAACAGACTTCTCATAATCTCTAACAAAACAAACACTCGAACCCATGTACTGCGTCGCTGCCTCTACCGTTATGTACGAGTCTCTGCGTTTTATTCCCCTTTCTCGTGCGTGATTCTCACTTGAAGCATATCGGCGAACTTTATGTAGGCCTTTTGTATCCTACATAGAAGTCATGGTAGCGTTTGCTTAGAACTTGTATAGGCGTAAATCACTCTTAGTGTATTTTGCTCGCGATTAACATTTCCGATAGTTGACTGTGGTCGTTTACGATTCCTATCGTTAGGTGGCAGTAATATATGAGAAAGCACAAAGCCGGCCTACGTGGGATCGCGCATCGTCCGCAAAGTACAAAACATACATTGAAATGTACTTATGTATATATTTACGTCGGAAAGTAGCAACGATACTAATAACAACAGTTGAAAAAACAAAAAACACAGGGGCCGTGTGTCTGTCTAGGCGTGCGCATACGAGACCCCATTGAATTCACTCGAACTTGCTTTTTGATCATCCGATTCCTGAGGCTGATGGAAGCTGTAAGTTTTGCATCCTCACTCGATTGAACCGTTCATAGACTCATATATGTTGTTTCTAGATCGTACGGAGGTGATTCGGACTGTGTGTAGCCCAAAATATTTTCCGAACGAGAGCTCAGACGATCAGTATCTGAGAACCGCACAATACTAATTAAAATTAGTTTATTAGTCACCATGAAACCCATGACAACTACGCTAGATATTATCGACGTGTTGCTTAGGCATAGGATGCATAACGCGCACTTCCAAGACACTTTCGCTAATCAATCGTTGTATGAATATCTTCTACTTAGTGCAAGGTGGACTCAGCCCAGACCCGAACGTGTCTATGATGTATGTTACTATTCTTTTATCTATGTATAAAAAAGGGTTCCTCAAGCAATGAGTTACCAGGTCGGGGTCGGCCGAGTGTCGCGGTTTATCATCGAAAAATGGATACCCTACATGTACATTATTGAATAGGAGTCAGCTTCCGAACTATCACATAACAGACAGAAGCGGACGGAAGTCGGCTATCCTCAGACGAAACGTATCAAAGATGGATACGCCAGCCAGCGCTAGATGTCGCTGATGCCTCTGATAATACTGTTACTTTTTACGAGCAACGATTCTACGACGGTTAGCGTACATGACAACCACAGCGGGCTCTTAGCGCTTGCACTCTTCCTCAGGGAGCACTCACGAGCGCCAACATCACACAGGGACGCGCATATCAACACCGAAGGCGCACATCGTTGCATCCAGTCGATGAAAGATGGGATAGGCACCGCTCCAGGCCGCACATACCCGTATCGACAGCATCTCAATCAATGCGACACAGTACGATCGCTTAGCCCGTGATTCAGCCGGTGGCCCTTTATTGGTGGCTCGCCAGCATCGGTAGCAATACCTTTTAGCTGACTATCGCGTCTCGTTCCGTTCAACGTCATCTTTCGCCTTACTTATGCTGTCACCGCTGCCATGCGTGCGCACACTCTACAACAGAGCACAGTGCGTCATATACGCATCTTGTTGTGCACCTCTTTGTGACCAATCTGCCGACGGCGGCGACAACAGTGACGGCGTCGCTGCCATCTTCTCCAGCACAAGTACGTCAATACTTCTTCCAGGAACGTTCCATACAACTGCCGAGCGTTTTACGAATAGGACACGCTTCTGTCCTCTTTTTTTGGTGTTCTGCCGCCGTCTGATCACCGACAGAAGTGACGGCGCGCAGGCCATTCAAAGACGCCATCTGGTGGCATGGTTCGACGCACGTGACTCAACGATTCGGCTGACAGCGCTCCTGCGTTAACATTACGTATTGTCGTAGGCAGTGCTCAATAATGTCGTTATTGGAGGTTCTGGTCGATCGGCGCTTTGTGGTGGTCGCCGCCGCCGCCGCCGTTACTGTCTGTGTTTTTTGACTAAATATTGTCAAGCAATAGAATATAAAACTGATAACCGACCTCACACTTCTGCAGATCGCCACGAGGTACCTTGCCCGCAGCCGCAGTAACAGAGATCTCTCTGCGAATGCTACGGTGATGGTCGAAACACTATCAGGTCAGTTGTACCAGTCGGTATGAGCGTAACCGCTGTTATTGTTGTATTGTGATTACTGATTGCCCTAGATCAATTTTTGCCTGGGCACAGTCTGATGGCCTAAGTGTTTTTTGGGACATTCTTGTAGCTATTGTGCTGCCATATTTTGATGCTCTTTTCAACGAATTGTGTCTACAAGGATCCTGTGCATTTCCCGGTACATAGACAATGTATCGTTTCATTCTGTGCGTTAGGGGTTGCACAGCATAGGGGTTCACTTTTATGTTGTTGCATACCCCCCATGTTTTTCAGACTGTGTTTTGCAAACAAACCGTTGCAATAAATTTTTAAAAAGCCAAAATTACGTAAAGTTATATCAATAACCGGTGATAAAAAAGGGACATGTTGTCAATAAAAGACAAAATATTTAGTAACTAAAGTCTGGTACATCTCAAATAAACCAAAGCATTTGCAATATTTAGATAATAGCGGCTTGACATATAAACATGTGTGTACTGTCGATGAGAGGAAAAACAACAAATGTAGTTAGACCTATTGAATCAACGTCGACATGAGCTGAAATGTTGGGGCTTGTAATCAACAAGCATCTATTGGTTGTCACCCTATCTCGTCGTAGACGAGAGTTATCATTAACGTCAAACAGCGGACGCTACTACATACATTGCGTAGGAGACGAGGGAATGCGACATGGAATAGGCTCTAGCACGAACTAAGGTCGACTGACTGTGTTTGCTACGTCAACAATAGGCAGTAGGACTCCCGCAATTCGACACATCACGGGTCTTATTCATCGTTGGCTTACTCCTGGTACCGAAACCGATACACGTTCATAGCGTATATTGAATTCAATCTCTGCTGTAACTCCCAGAATGCTGTTGCGATCGGCATGACACGAAGGCACACCTACTTCCCTCAAGCACCCCGATGGCTGTCCAGTTCACCGAAGTGGTCACCTAAAAGGCCATTGTAGTACGGGAAAACCGAACTCTCCCGAGATCTGGGCATAAACACATAGACACTTTAGTTTCGTGCTGTGCGCCGACTGTCAGCGGCTGTACCCGTACGTATGCATTAAACGGTGAAGTCATTGATTTGTCTTAAAGTGAAGGCATATCTTTTATATCCGATCGACAAGTCGCTGGATCAGAAGAAGTTCGTGTTATTTCAGATACAGCTAACCAATCCTCATTTGCAAATTACGAACGAGACGTCCTTAGCGGTACGATTAAGGGCTGAGATGCGGACTTAATTCACAACCAGCCTAATCAGCATTCGTCCTTACGCATAAGGACATACTTAGGCTTTGTTTTGAGTGCTATGTTTACGAGCAGCTCTTTAAGTACATGCGTATAGAGAGTAAGGGAGAATAAATGTTCATTGAGAAAGATTAGTTCCTATTATTATTGTAGCATAGAGATCGAGAAAAATGATTGCCCCTACTGTTTTTCGAATGATTTTTCCTCACCTCTCTCTCCCTAAGTATTTTTCCTCACAACTGCGACAGTAAAGTAATAGCTAAAGCGGCGTTTTCGCTAACGGCTGCTATGCCTAGCATGCCAAATAGACAAATCCGATCCCTGTTTAACTAACAAGCCAAGAACACATGCATTGTTTCTCAAGCCAGTCTAGTATATCCTAAATGTTCCACAGTGTAATAATTCCTACTTTACTAGAGTAAAAACGATGTTCAGCCATTGTCGAAGTCAGTGATAAATGCACGAATTCATCAGCTAGAGAAAATCTATCGATGCCGCAATTATACGAAAGTAAATAGTGAGAATGGGACCCTCACCAGCTTAGGATTGAAACTAATATGTGTTTTGCTTTTATAGCGATAGAAAGGGCGGCAGTGTGAAGCAGCTACGTGGATGGCCCGATGTCGTCAGAAAACGTCGTGCGCTACACGATTTTTTCCACAGATTGCACCGTAATGCACTAAGTGGCAAGAAGCACGCTAGAAAAAATGCCGATGATGTATCAGTGATAACCAAACCGGTACGAAGGTACGTGTCGTCTTTTCTCTGCATTTTTGGGGACGGGGCGATGCTGAAAGAGCAAGCTTGAAGATCTCAGTCTGTACACTGGATATTTAATAGTCACAGCTTTGATAGCGTGGATACGCGGCGTAGGCAAAAGGAAGCTTAATAATTTCATCCTTATATAAAGTATGCAGGAGTATGACGTTAACTCTGAAGTGGCAATTCGAGAGCATTTTATTAGTTCGGAATTTTTTGCACATTTATTTGGTGACCTCTTCTTGTGGTTGTAAAGCGAGAGGAATGGAAATTCTACGAAACTTAATGAAGATGGTACGGCTCGAAACAAAAAACGCGCTTCTGTTTCTGATACAACAAGTAGGAAAGACCCGTTAGGCTAATACGTTTTACATAGGTAGTCTGTTTGTGTCGTAGCATAGATAGTATGCCGAGAGCCCCACTATTTAAAATGGGGTTTCGATTATTGCAACGTTAGCAAATACGGCAAGAACTTTGCACAGAAGCGTACTGTTACGTTTAATCCACGTAAATGTTATTACATTCAACTCCCGTACCTTATTAACAGGACGGTATTCCCCTACCGTAGCCTCGTCAAGTGGCCTTTAGTAAAAAAACAATCCAGTGTCGATTTCAAGTCACAGGTTAGCACCAAGCAACAGATTAACGAATGCACGTATGAGTTGAAATGGTAGGTCCATTATCAATATTGTCATAAAACCATCTAGAGGTCAACCTTTTGAAAAGACGTAATTTCCTCTATAACAGATTAAAGTTTCGTTTAACATTTCGTGCGGAAAGAAAAGCCAACGAAAAAAAAAAACGTATACGTTCAACTGAATTTAAAGCGGATTATTCACTATAATATATGTGTTTCCGCTATAAGTGCGTCAGAAAAAATGCTTATGCAGAAAATTGTTTGATTTGAGCAATCAAATATTTGATTGAGCATTGATTGATGATAGGAGACAAATTTAGGATAAGGGGCAAGGGGCAGTTGAGCATTTTCTCGCTCTTTCTATAGTTATAGCTATTTGGATTGACAAATGAGTATTAGGACAAAAAGGACCCTAAGAATGATTTTACAAGCGATGAAATTGTATCAATTAAGACAATTTCTTATCTGTAAAACTAAACCAATAAAAAGTCTCGCTTCGGCCGCCGTCAATTCGTATCGATTGGTGAATCTCTCTCACTCACAATGGTTCATTCGAGTAGGATACAAGGTAAACATGGAATGGAACCAGCTTCATGATCGACACTTAAATTTTATCTTACAGCTACGACCATAAACATTAAAAGGTAAGCGCGCGGGCAAATCTAGCGGTCAGTGCTGCCCTCAATATTATTATTTTTTTGTAAATTTCTAACGTAATAATAATTATGCTAATAACGTAAGCAGAAGGCCAGTCAGTGAGCCATTGCCATGTGCTGTGGAATATGGACCGTAAAATAGTATCTTTAGGATATATAGGAGAAGCGCAAGATTGAATATTTTTGTTAGAGTTAATAATAACATATGTTGTTTAAAATATCAGCCTAACACTAATTGATATATGCTTGTTCCTAAATATTTCTGATCGAAGTGGTGTTTCTGTTCCCAGTCACTGGCGGCAGGGAACTGTATTAACGTAATTTATTTTCTTAGCGTAATTAATTACGTTAACTACTTTGTTTGACGTTTGCCTGTTGAAGTGGTCGACCTCCGAAAAGTTCGGAAAATCAAGTCAGATGAACTTACTGAAATTAATCCAATTGTTACTGACAGGCTAATATGGTTTACATATATGTTTACGCTGCATATGAAAAGAAATAAGGCCCCAATTTGGAGCTTGCAAAATATGAATGTTTTCCAGCTTACGAACAATATAGGTGGCAACGCGATAGCTATTGACTGCTATATGAGGTCTAGTTGGATCTTTACCCTGTACTGGGCTGCATTTATTCAAGAAAAGTTTTTGGGCTCCTATTTGCAATCGATTTAGCCAGCTAAGGCAATTTTCTAACTAACAAAAGTGGACCACAAACGTATCATGCGGTCCGGGTGTGGCAAATGCAGTCGTTCTCATATTGAACATACGATTTCTCATTACTGCGTTGATTAGCTACGAACTCTTAGATCAAAGTAAGAACCGTATTGATCAGTGTTCCTTCCGTGAAATCAAAGCACGAAGATTACTTTTGCTTATTGTCTTACAATTGTTCACTAAGCCTTTCCCATCAGATACGGGTGAACATGAGGAAACTATATAACCAACAAGGAACGAAAACGGGCGGATTTTATTATGACTGAACTTTAAAATGTCAAGAGTTTTGTTCCAGGATCGCGAAAGCACAGAGTTCTGTTCGTTACTACACCATAGAGTAGTCGGTGCAGCAGGAGATTGACGGAAAAGATGAATTATTCAAAAACAACTGTCGAAGGTTAGGAATCCTTTGTCGTCCTTTGATTCTCCGTAACGAATGCTAGTGATGTTGCGAGGCGGAGAGGCTCCCGTTAGCTCCCGTAAGGTTATTACAGAATGCAGAGTTATTTACTAGGGCAACGACAACGAACTAAGTTCGTGCAATAAATCTCCGATGATAATGGGTTAAAAACATGCAGCAGATTTTTTTTGGATGGAGATGTGTCGTCTGACCACCTCACGATACTGTTCAAGCACTGCAAATCATCTAGAACCCAGTAATGCCATGCATCAGCTATCTGAGAAACGGCAGCACTGAATGGAAGCCTTGAAACACTTCCAGCAACGCCATGCACGCTCACGATGACAGATTTAGCCTAAATGCTTGAAAAATAGGGATTGTTAATACTCGTTTGCCGAACGGGCACTTTTTCACAATCAGACCGAGAAAGTTCTCAAACGAAAATGGCTTTCTCAGTCTCAATTTGTCAGACCCGGTTTGATTGCAAGAGGGTAAATAAGTGATTCCAATCCAGTTTCATTATGCCAAAGCTTCCGGTAAGTGACGCACGTTCAGGAACGTATCACAAGGCACAATTTGTGCTAGTAGTAAATGTTTTAATTAATATTCTAAAATTTAACATAAGGGTCATAATATGGAAGGGCGAAGGGAATAATTTGAATGAAGATGCTTTCGAATAAAGCAGCCACCGTTTGGCGGAAAAGTAAGGTACGAAAAGTCAAAGTGGGTGTGTGCAATGAGAAAAATAATGAACCACAAAAAAGAAAGCAGAAACGTTGTGAATTTTCTGTAGACCGTTCTGTATATATACACACGACTGTAGAGCGAATTAATATAATGGCCTTAATCGAACTGAGTGCCTTTTTATATTACAAACTAAGTTACCAAAGGAGTAAGGACTATCATTATCTTACAGCTTCACGGAGGTCTAGAGAAAATCACGGACATCCGAGCCGCTGAATCCCCGCTTCCTATTAACTTCCGCGGTGAGTTTTATCGACAAAAACCTATTAATAATAGAAATTCGTCGAATTCGATACAGAGTGTGTTCCTCAAAACGTAAAATCCAAACAATTTTAGGTCTACAAGCGCTCCATATATTTGAGCAGCTCACCATGTTTCCAGTGTCGTGTCGTGCCCATCTTAACAACTTACGCACTGAAAAGCATAGAAAATTTTATGATCTACTAGCGAACCGTAGCTTCACAATTGAATAGCAGAGCCATTAGAAGAAAGCCGTTCTTCATATACTACAACGCACACGCGACCAGTCACCTCACAGTATAGTCATAGAGTTAACCGTTAAATTTACTACACACTAAGTAGCATCAATCAGCTCGTTTCTCCACGATTATTTGTTTCAGAGTACACTGTATATACCGAGATCATCGCAGATCTCAAATAGAGTTGATTTTGGTTACAATCCCTTTACCTTTTGTTAATTTCTACAGTTAATCGTTCATCAAACTTGAATCGATCCTTATTTAGCTATTGGTGATGAGTAGGAATGAAAACACAAGGAAAAGCTTTTACTAACTGGGTGTCCATGCGATATCCTCTTTTCCTGTTGGCGTGTTCAGACCTTTTTCTTCTACATAATAATACAAAATCATCTATACACATGCAGTGAGGGCTTGCTTGCGTCATGGCCGTGTTTAGTGCCTTATTTATTAGGTTCTTGTGTACGGGAGTTTGCAATCGAAGCCTGAAAAATCATCAGGGTACCCAACAGAACGGTGATCTACCTCGGCCCACTGAAGAATTGCAGATAGAGAACTTTGTGTTTCTCCTCTCTTTCCTTTTAATGTACCTCTTTCTTTAGTGTATCGTTTCTGAAGGTTTCTTCGTTTTGCCTCGGATCTATTCAGTTGTAAATTTTGCATTAATTTTGCTTACTTTTTTCAGGCTATGGTTCATTGACTAGTGATTTTATCGGTAACAGGTTTCCTGTTCTATGGAAATGTGGCTCGATACTGTTTGCTCGCTAGCCTTGTTCGGTCCTTCAGCTTCAACAGACACAGTCATGAAGTAAACACGTGACGCGCTGCTCTACTTCCATACTTCGAGCATGCCTATCGACTAAATAAGCTGTTCATAGGAATTCATCTTAGAAAAATATTTCGAAATTATTCCCTTTTCTATTCGCTCGAACCGAATTATCCGCATCAATGGCTTCAACCTTAAAAAGTATGCGCTAATAAAATTGAATATAGGAAGCATCGTTCAAAGGGAATCGATTGTACAAATCACTTACGGTATCCGAAAACGCTTGGTAGTAATAACTGATATTCACTTCTGGACAATATCCCCCTCTTGCAGCCACGAAAATCTTTCACTGTTCATTGCAGTAGGCGTTCCATTGTAGCTCCCTTTCATATATATTATTTGCCTATCATCTATCTATCTATCTATTGGTCCGTGAGCCGATTCCTATAGTCTGTTTCAGCGTGAAACTTCAGACCAACTCAGATCTATAAGCAAATGTCTACCTGAAAAATACGAAGTGCTGTAAATGCGCTACGAAACGCCGCATCTACTAAGGGAAGCTCTTTTTTTTTAAGGTTTCATTTATTTATTTTTTAGATTTTTCTTAGATGTCACGTTGATCGGTAATATAGGACACAGCGTACAGTTCAATTTGTTAGATTGATTGTTACCAAATGGGCAAACAAAAAAAGGCTGTCTGTGATCTTTAAGACAGCCATTTCTGTTCGTAGATGTGAGCTAATCTGACGCGGATCTTTAACGTTGACGCAGTGGCCACAGTGAACAGTTACAATATCCATTGTCGGACACCCTGATAGCAGAACACAATTTTTGATAGATGTATCTAGTTTGTTTCTCATGCTCATTTATACATTTGTTATTACTATGAAATAGCGAATATGCTCACGAGAAAGAAAGACGCTGGCCAATCGTACAGATTACATCGGTCACATAATTGAACCTATAATAAATTATACCATCCCACCTTCGAATGTAACCCTGTCGTATATAAGAACGTTTTTGGTCGCTAATCAAATAGTGACTCAGTACGACCCTGAGTGAACAACGGTGCATTTACAAAAAAAAATAATTCAGTAATTAATAATATGATGAAATTCTTCACTATGCAGTCGTAAATTTGGGGATAGTGATTTCTTTCCGGCAGCCGCCTCAAATTTTACATTAGAAAATGAGATTGCTAACATTTAATAGTAGTTTCACTTGATTTTTTGAGAGAAGGGTTAGTTTTTTTTTTTTTTTTTCTAGTAATTTTAACTTGGAAAAAAAACAAAAAATACTGAGCTCCAAATTACGGGACCTGTGTATGATCTAATAAGTGCTTCTGCTTTGTGTACTTCAACCAATGTGTGACAAAAAGGACCGTGGTCAAATGAATACATTACCTTCCGAGCTCTATTTCCATCGTTAATTGGATAGAGGATACGGTTTTCACAATGTATGCCTTTCGACCATCTTGTCCATTCGAGAGGCACGCATTCAGAGGGATGCACTAAATGCTACTGGACAGATATTGGTTTTTTAGGTCTCGATATTTTATTTAGAAAATTTCATTCCAATGTATGATGTCACTAATGATTCTCTTATGTCTTATTATTTTCGAAAACATTAGCTTAACGTATAGCCGTAACAGGTGATTTTGTTTTGTTTGTAACAATTTCTAATCGAATTACCCCCAAAAGCCAATTTAGTGGCTTTTTTTTTAGTAACTCAAATTATACAAGTAGCTATTCCTTTAATTACTCCTTCACCTAACTAGCTAAGTCCCTCGACTTCGTTCCTCCGATCGCGACTACTTCCTCCTAACACATACATTCTACATAAGTTCCGGGCTCGTATCAAGCTGTACCCATTTACAAACCAGGGAGCACCCTAAATTCAACATTGGGCGATCTGTGAGGGTTATATAGGCTCTATAAAAGCTACGGCTTCGAATAGGATAACTTAGTTTTTGTGTTCCTAGGTTGCAACAAGCGCAGGCTGGCCCCGCCATAGTTCACGGCAAACTATTTGTCCAAGGGCAACCTTCACAGCACATCTGTTTAGTATTAAGCACGTTTTCTCGAAAACTACAAACCAGTTAAGCTGCAAGCCGCACTCGGTATCTCGTGCAGTCTCCCTACTGGTCGCTACTGCCCCCTGAACCTGGTAGCATTTGTTTTCGATTCGCACGTCGAGGCACTTGCACGCACGTGCGGATCGTCCGCGGGATCGATCGTTTCAGTGAGAAAAATATGAACCAAACAACTGTTTACCAGCAACGTGACTAGTGGTAGGGCCTACAAGTTTTTATAAACACAAATCTCACCCATCCAGAGTAATTTCCGCATTGCCGGAACGACTAATAGGAGCATTTTGTTGTGGTTGATTCTGGACACTACGTGACATGAGAACTGGGAAGGCCCAAGCGAGCAAGCGGTCCCTGAAGTCTATCTTCAGTTATTCAGCGACGTATTCTGCTCGCGTTCTGAGTGTCATTAGCCACCCCGGAACCATTAGTTTTCTCTGCTAGCGACCAGAGGAACTGTCACACCAAGCAAAAATTTTGAATCACTTTTACTCGTCGAAAAGTTAGGCTTAGCCAAGGGAGAATGAATTGTCATGCGCTTAGAAGTCTACGGTTGTTTGTGTTTTCCATAAACGTAGACCTACATGTATAATGTTTTTTGGAAGAGTTTAGGCAGGAGTTTTAGCAGATAGGCTTATTAACAACCATACTATTTACAAAGTGTTCCCTTAGCTTGTGCGTATCGTTAAAATTAACGGTGTGTAATGGACAAGTGCAAGCAATGGACGTCATACGTATAAATGACGTCCATTTTGTTTTCATAATAACAAGAGGCATTTTTAAGGCGGTCTATACTGTAGGTCACCCCATGTTTTTTTTAATAAAGTTGAAAATAATGTTCTCAAGAACTTAGTGATAAGTACAAGCTCTCACATATAGAGACTTTATCCGCGAAGACATTGGAATATACATAATGCAAGCCATAACCAAAACACAGTACACGAGATATAAGTAAACAAAAAATGTATTATATATGTATAAGATTCAAGGTACACCTTCTAGGTTATGTTTTATTTTTTAGCGACAACATAAGCGTGGAAACGATCAACAACGCTACAACAAACCGTAATTATTTTTCTATATTCCATATTGTGTAATATTATCAACATACTTCTCGATGTAGCCCTTACTGTTGCAAAGCTAAGCTAAGTATAGAACCTAAATAATAGATACCGTTGGTTGTCATTGAGCCTACTAAACATCTTTTACTTTTCGAGGGCTAATATTCGCGCTCGTTGAGTAGGCGTTCTCTCAGGACCGCCGTTCAGTCTTTTTTTGTTTTTCTCTTGATTGCGTAAAGCTAAAATGACGCGAATCGCGAAAATGCCGTTGAGACATTAGAAACAGTACGGCTGATCATTGTTCAGCTACGACGGTCGATTTTCTAGCAGATATAATCGGTTAGTTGCATAAATACTGAACGTGCCTGGCGTCAATCATGTCACTTTCAAACTTAAGGAAAAAACGGCTGGAAGGAGCCGAGAAACTGAAGGTTTCACGGTAGTCCTCACTGACACTGATAAGTACCAGAAATAAAACATTCACATTGTTAACATGTCTTGTTATTGATACATATATATATATATATATATATACACACACCTGTAACTGTAGTCGGCAATGCAACAGCGTCAACTGGCAGCGACAGCTGATGACGGGATCACGTGATGAACTTATCAGGGAACTTACCTTGGCAACGTGATGGTTAAGCACTAACGCCAAACTTATCTAGGTTGCACGATGTCTAGGTCGTGGTACAATGCAGCCTACTATATATTTAACATATTGTCCATTCAATTTCTATCTAGATTAGATAGGTTTATTGTTATCTAGATAATATATAAGGTCTATTTTACTTGAGAAAGCGTTGAGCGGTCTGATCAATCACTTCTAAAACGAGAAAGACGCCAAACA